CACTGGCTACCCCTGTGACCTCACCCAAGTCACCCTTTCATGGGAGGTGAGGGGAAAGAAGGGGAGGGGAAAGGAAAGGGAGGGGAAGGGAGGGAAGGAAACTAAAGCACTATTGCTGAGCTCCAGGGACAGAAAAGAATCATTTTGACTCAAGTCTCCAAACTGGGGAGAGAAATTAAAAGAATTAAAGTGTCTGACATGTTCTATTGGTGAAACTAAGAAAACATGATTCTGGCATTAGGAGGGAAGTGTAACTTATGCTTGTACTGGCACTGGGGTGATTATTTGGATTAAGTATTAAAGATAATACTTTTTCCTAGAATATTCAGATAAATGCAAAAGTGATTATTTTTTTTTTTTTTTACTTTCAACAAGTTGAATTGTCTCAAATATTTCCTCCTTTTTTACAGAAAGATCAAGAATTATCTTTCACTTTTATTTTTTCTTTTACTTTCAAAAAAAAAAAATTGGGATGGGGCAGCCAGGCATGGTGGTACACATCAGTGATCCCAGAACTCGGGAGGCGGAAGCAGGGGATCTCTGAGATGGAGGAGAGCCTTGTTTCCATAGTGCGTTCCAAGTCAGCTGGACAACAGGAAGACTGCATTCTCCCACCCCACCCCTAATTTTTTTGGGCTTTATTTTTATAATATATATGGAAGTGCTTTACCTGAAAGTATTAAGTATACCCATGTTGTACAGTGACTTCAGAGGCCAGAAGAGGGTTTCCAGGCCCAAGGATGACCTTTTATATTTTTTTATTATACCATCAGAAAAAAATGACCAAAAGATACAGGAAATGAACAAACTCAAAACCCAAACTCTCCCTTTGGACAGTATACACTTCTTTATGAAAAATCAAAGTATTAGCTAAATACACAAGAACCAGAATAAACCTTTCATCAGGGTTGTTGGCGAAACTCTCCTTCAACAAAAGAACTTTCTGAACTCCACTGTGATTTCTTGAGAGTGATAAGTAACCCAGTAATAATGTTAGGTTCCTAACAGGAAGAATTTTGGCAATAAAAACAGTTAATTCTACTGAGAAGAAAGGGTGGCTCTGACAGTGTTGCTCCCAAATGCAATGTCCATGGTTCTTATCTGGCCTTGATTGGGATTTAATGTCATTTACCTTTGGCTCTTTAGAACCTGCTGCACAATCTCACCTTTTCTGATGTGTACCATTTTCATGTCAGCCCTGCTGTGCTGAACCTCTGGTTTTGAAAATGATTAAGAAATTAATCCCACGAGTTCTTGTTCTGTATGTCCTATAATTTGAGTCTTTCTTCTGTAGTCCCAGAAAACTCAGAGATCAGTACATTTCTTGTTTTAAGGTACACTAAAGAAATACTCTGAGGTTTGATATATTTATGTAAACATTTTCAAAGAAGTTGAAATGTATAATTCAAACGTTCTGTGAAAGAATTTGTTTTCTGATTACAAAATGATCTTCTGCTCTTGATAAAAGCAACCATTTTGCATTTATTTGGCTGACTCTGAAGGTCCCATGGAGAATAATCACAATCACTGCTCCAGTCCCTAAAATCTCTTTTCCATATGCAAGTCTTTACGGGTTTTCAAGGGTCGCTTTAAGTATAGAAGAACCTACAAGCTGAAGACTCTTCTCTAACTTAACTTAGGCTTCCCCCATGAAGAGCCATTACAACAGTTGTGACAGAAAGGTATCATATACTTTTGACTTCCTTTTTCAACCAGGGTGAAACAACCTTGACACAGTAAATGCCTAGTATCCACACTGTAGCTTTTTTTTTTTCCCCAGGAAAACTTTTATCAACATTTAAAGAACAAGAGCAACAACGACACAGCCCGAGTTGGGGGGATTTTGCCTTTCCAAAGAGTTTCTCATGATCACCAACAAAGAAAACTTAAGAATATGAAAGGTAGCCCACAGGTTTGGTTGCTGTGCAGACTACAGCAACAGCCAGACTGTTGGGGAGAAATGGGGCATTTAGGTGAGGAGGCCCATGGGTACAAATGGAGGAAGGACGGAGAAGAAGCTCCATTCACTTTTTGACAAAGCTCATTCAAGAAAGGCTGTCTAAGAGTCGGCTGGTATCTTTGATACTCTGGACATTCCTTCTAACTCCCTACAGTGCACACTGAAAATTCTGTTCTGCTCTTCTCTTTGTCATTAGTCCCTTTCCTTTGAAGCAGCAGCAAAGCGCCAGGCTGAAGAGATCTAACTTGTTTGATTGAGCCAATGATGACGTTTGGGCCTTAATGGACTATCTCCAGAAGCAAGATAATAACCTCAGCCTCTCTTTACCACAGAGATAGAATGAGGGCCCAAAGGTGTGAGTGCTTCAGAGAAACCACAGGACTGGAAAGATGGATCAGTAACACTTGCCACACAAACAGGAGGACCTGAGTTTAAATGCCTAGAACCAATGTAAAATCCAGGGGCATAGCATGAGGTGGACATGAAAGAATCCCTGGAAGCTTGCAGGCCAGTTAGCCTGGTATACACACCAGAAAAAGAACAATGAGACCCTGTCTCAAAGAAGGTGGAAGGTGAGGATCGACATCTAATGTTGTCCTCTGACTTTTCTATGGGTGCCGGGATATACACACTCCTCCAATCAAATATCCCTACCCACAGAAGAAACCACAAAGGCCTGTAATACACACACACACACACACACACACACACACACACACACACACACGCACGCACGCACGCGCGCGGCAGATGATCTCAGATAAAATCTCAAACACTTACGGATCTGTGCAATCTTTTTAGTAGGTCCACAAGGGCAAACTACTTTCAAGAATTTACAAGGGATGTGAGGATGTCTTCTCTCACGATAATGGAGTATGTGCTGTGGGTTCCTGTATTTTAATATGACCTCAGTATTATGATCTAATTAAATATTGAAAGGCAATATTGAAAGCTGTTTGAGACTCAATAATTTTCAAGTGCGTTAAGAAGTCCTGAGATCTGCTGAGAACCACCAAGGTAGAGTTTTAGTCTGACCCAAAGCTGCAGTTCCCAGATGTATTGCCTTCTCACCCACTCACAGCCTTACTATGTAATGTACTTTGCATGGGAGACTCTTCCTTCTCAATGCTGAACTATTTTCAGTCTCTACTTAGATGTCACCTTCTCTGTGATGCTTGCCCTGATTTCCCCAGTCAAAGGGCTCTACCACTTGGTGACCCAGAGCTTAGTACTCGACATTGCCACTGTCCCTTTTCTGCTCTTTATTTTGTCCTTGTCTCCTCCTTCTAGGCAGGGGCTGAGTTAGTCACTGTTGTGGTTGTAACACAATAGTATATAGTAGGCTTTCAGTAAATCTTTCCTAAATATGTAAAACAACCAAGGAAGGAAGGCAAGAAGATAGGTCTATATTACATTCTCCTTGGGGGAAATTACTTTTCCTTATAGGATAGGCACATGAACATTTCGAGAATAACCACATGTATATCTTATTATGGATCAGGTATATAAGCACTTTATATGCATGAATTAATATAGCCTTTATTTTCAAAATTGAAGATGCAGATAGGTGTCCAGGTAATGAAGGGTGGCTATTTGGTGTATACCCTGGCAGTTAATCTCTGGAGTCCCATGGTGTGAACAATTTTTCACACTGCCTCTCATATCAGCAGGGTAGACTTAAGAGTTATACATGTAGTAGAATCTCAAGGACAACTCCCACTCTACTTATAAACTAGAACATGACTAACTTTTTTTTTTTTTTGAGACAAGGTCTCTCTATGTAGCTCTGGCTGGCCTGGAACTCACTATGTATATCAGGCTGGCCTAGAACTCAGAGTTCTCCCTTCCTCTGCCTCTCCAGTGCTGGGATTAAAGACATATACCACTGTACCTGGCATGGCCTGACATTTAACTCTCTCCTCTATTCCTATCCATGTGAGTGATCACAACTATGTGAATAAAAGATTTCAAAACCCAGGTTGGGGTTTTAAAAGGACAGTTTGAGGGCTGGGGAGATGGCTCAGTGGTAGAGCACTAGCTGCTCTTCCAGAGGACCTGTGTTCAGTTCCCAGCACCAACATCAGGTGACTCAAAGCCGCCTGTAAGTCCAGTTCCGGGAGCTCTGACATCCTTTTCTAACCTCATGGGCACACAGAGACATACACATATACACACAATAAATAATAATAAATAAACAAATAAAATTAATTTCAAAGGGCAGTTTCAATGAGAAGGCTCTTCTCACTCATTTATTGTACTTAGGTGTTAACAACAATAAATTTCTATATTTATTTAAAATAAGGAGCAGCGAGGGGTTGGGGATTGAGCTCAGTGACAGAGCAAGGGCAAGGCCTCAGGTTTGAGTCTCAGTTCTGGAAGTGGGTAGGGGGTGAGAGAAAAATGAAAATAGGGATCAGCAAAATGGCTCAGCAGGTAAAGGTACTCAAGCCAATCCTGATGACCTGGGTTAAATCCCTGTAACCCTGTGACCTGTGGTAGGAGAAACAATTCTCCCCAGTTTGCCCTCTGACTTCTACACATGTGCCACAGCAAGCAGGCAATCTCCCCTCATAAGTAAATAGATGAAATTTATTTAAACAGTTCTTCTATAAAATAGAGAAAGTAAGAAAGGAAGGTGCTATTTCCATGTGCTATGACAGCTTTGTGCTAAGGGGAAGTTCTCCCTGTGCAATTCTATGTCTTTTAAGCTCGCCTCTCTCTCAAAAGAAGTGCTCACAGCTTCTCCCAGAACAGGGAATGACCCAGAATGTTCTGCGGGCATACTTGATGGAAAAGTAAGTCATAGAAAAGAGTTTAACATACAAGATAATTTGCCAGAATCACAGTGTACACTGGCTCATATATGGGGTGAATGAAAGTATATTTAGGAGATACCTGGTTTTTCAGAAGTAGACGTAAGCTCTACAGACAAGCTTAACAGCCTGTGTGTCAAGTCCTGACCCGAGAATGGTGCCAAGAACCCAAAGCTGATCTGGTATTCTGGTGTTCTATTTGAGTCACACAGAGTCACTTTACTTACTTGCAGAAGTGTCCCATGAATATGATTTTGCCGGAAACACTGGTCAGTGCTGTTCGGGAGTGTGTCCAGCAGAGTGCAGAGGGTGCTAGGTATTTGGTCTATTGTAACAAAGGAGACCAAGGCACGAGCTGCCATTTCACGGGAGCGGTAGATTGGCGAGTTACCACACCTGGGGGGACATAAAAACACATTAACACTCAGTGCATGTCTCCACACCTTCATCTTTGTATATGCAGATGTCCTACCTCCCCTGACTGGAACAACTAAGGGAGGCAGTGGCAGGAGCTGCACCTCATTTCACATGATGTTCTTAGTCTTCCCTATTCCAAATGATGTGTTATTTTATATCTGCATTAGTTCCACATGTGACTTTGCTTTTGTTATAAAAAAAGAACTAGCATCTATAATTCTATCACAGGGACTAAAGGAAGATAGACTTTGGGGAAGTGATAATAAACAGGTGATAGCAAACAAAATGGCTTACTCCTTAACAATGAAAGAAATATTAATTGGATGCCCATGATAAGCCAAAAGCTTTGTGGTAAGTGCCATGAAAGGCAAGACCACCACTGCTGTCTCTGAGGAGCCCATGTGCTGGTGGAAAGATGAGACACACATTCAAAAGGACAACCAAAACCAAGACAGTATGAGGAAAATGATAAACAAATGGTCTCAATGCTAACAGTTACAAGAAATGAGGAGAAAGTTTGAGCGTCAAGAATGTGTGGTTCTAGTAGGCCAAGAGGAAACAAGAAAGCTGTTCTAACCAGGGACAGTTTACAGCAAAGGCAGAAATGCTCCAGTGACAGGTAGATATGGTTGGCTGACCTAGGAGCTGATAAATAACAGTGGACAGTAAGGCCAAGAATTGGATCAGAACACATCCAGGAGCACCACAAATGGCAGGCAACACACTCTGAACTTCTGTTAAGAGGAAAGAGAGGAATACCAAGCCTCTAAATTCTTGTCTTTTGGCTGACTTACTGAGTTAGTGGGAATAAAAGCTGCTTATTTCTTTAAAAAGTTAATTTTTTTGATTCCAGAATTTCATACAATGTATTTTGATCATATTCAGACTCCCCTCCACTTCCTCCCCACTACCCTACCCTCAATTTCATGTCCTCCACTATTATCTGCCCTTTTATTTTTAACATTTTTATTTATTTATTTAAATTTTTTAAATTATTATTTTAATTTTATGTGTATGGGTGCATTGCCTGCATGTATGTAAGTACACCCATATAGAGCAGTGCCCACAGAGGATAGGAGAGAGCCTCGGATACCCTGGAACTGGAGCTAAGGACAGTTGTTAGCAGCCATATGGGTGCTGGAATTCAAACCCGAGTCTTATGCAAAACGGCCAGTGCTCTTAACCACTGAACCATATCTCAGCCCCCTATTTATAAATTTTTGTTTTTTAAAGGTCTATCAATTCCATTCACTGCCTCCCATTTGCTTCTGGGTATGGGTCCATGCCCTAGAGTCTAGTCAACCTACCAGGCATTGCACCAGTAAGGAAAACTGACTCGCCCTCTCCCATTATCCATCAGTTGCCCTGAAAGATACTCAGCTAGTAATGGACTCCTTCATTTGGAGTTGTTGAAAGAGAGATTCCAAGATCCTCAAACAATACTGGCTATTGCTGTTGTGCTTGTTTTCCTTCCAGAACTTGATGGTAAGACCCTATTGCTTAAGACACTACATACCTGAGTCTCAGAACAAGGAAAAATCAAGTTGGTACTGATCTTGGCTTTCATAGTTCTAGAAAGTGCTATGCATATTAGAGAAAGGTAATCATTAACCTTAATCAGCTGTGAACTCTGTGAGCTACACTAACAACTGTCTTGGCAAAATATGTTAATGGTACAATAGTGGCACAAATATAACAGAAGTAACCAATCACCTTTTAGTTGGATTTAAAGCCCACTTCACAAAAGGGTGTTCATACTTGACATTGTTATCAGGATGAGAGCCTGTGGCTAGACAAATCACAGGCCATAGTATAGAACCCAGTATTATCATTCTGCTAAAAATATGTAATATTAAACTGACTCCCAATGACTTATTGTTTTATCCATAGATTAGTACATCTCTCAACTCTCACCAGAGAAGGTTCTTCTTGCAGCAAATGGTGATTAACACAGACACACAAATGGTCAAAGTGCAGAAAATAAAAGACTACAGAGTGTTCAGCCCTAAGTGGGACACCTATATATCACCCTCTCTTACTAAGGCTCAGCGATCATTGCATAAGAGGGGACAGAAAGATTATAAGAGCCAGAGGTGGTAGATGAATACTAAGGAAACCATACTGTCTGGACACCACAGGGCAGTTGCACATATGCACTCAGAGTGTTTGAGACAACATGAGTAGGACCCGAGCAAACCCAAGCCAGACAGGGGCCCAGAATGGATGAGGAAGGTGGGCAAAAAGCTGTTTCTTAAGTACAGGACAGCCATGGACAAGTGGTATTTTGAGATGCTATGCAGGGCACTGGAGAGGTAGGGCATTCAAGGGCCTCTTGACTTTGTAAACACTTAGAGCCTAAAAAGCCACAACCACTTTGGTGTGGCTGCACAGCTGAGGACCTTCACAGACACAACACTGATTGTGAGGAAAAAGTCCGATATGGTAAAGCCTCAGCTTAAGTTCTTCACTGGAATTCTCTAGACTTCATGATCTTTTACCTACTTATAAAATAATTCAATTTATAGAGATGTCTTAAATGTCAAGGCAAAAGATCAGAAGACAGTAGGCTCTACATGGGAAAGAAATGGCCTCTCGACTTTTCTCAAAATTAAACAGTATTAGCTGGGCGTGGTGGCACATGCCTGTAGTCCCAGCACTTGGGAGGCAGAGGCAGGCAGATCTCTGTGAGTTCAAGGCCTGCCTTGTCTACACAGTGAGTTCCAGGCCAGCTGGGGCTACAGGGATTCCCTGTCTGAAAAAAAAAAAAAAAATTAAACAGTGTTATAAGAAGGAATTACTGTAATGGGCATGGTGGCACATGCATTTAATCCCAGCACGCAGGAGGCAGAGGCAGGTAGATCTCTGTGAGAACAAGTCCAGCTTGGTCTACATAGTCAGTTCCAAGTCAGCTGGTGCTATGGGGAAACCCTTCTTCCCCCGCCAAAAAGAAAAACCCCAAACAAAACAAAAGGCAGGTATTCCTGGTAAGATCTGGACTGTTGGGGCCACAGCTTTAGGAAGAAATATTTCCAATATTTCAGAGGTACCACCAACATGTACCTTAATATGACAATCAAAATATATAAAATTCCTGGTCAGAGAGATGGCTCAGAAGAATAAGGTGCTTGTTACACAGGCCTGAAAACCTGAGCCTGACTCCCAGAACCCACAAGAGAAAGAGAACCAACTCAACAAAGTTGTCCTCTGACCTCCACATGCATGCTGTGGCCCACATATTCACATATACATCATGTCACACACACACACACACACACACACACACACACACACACACACATCTTTGTACAAATGGAATGTCTTAAGCAGAATTTCATCACAGGGGTGGTGGGACACAGGATGGTGAAGGAGAAAGAAAGAGGTGAGAGTAGGTAAAAACACCATGGGTCCCTTAGCACAAGTTACAGGTTGCAGAAGTTCCATCAAGAGGCACAGAAGGGGAAGACAGCCATGGCTTCAGCAGGTAGCTAGACAACTCTCTCTGGGCTGTAATTAGGTTCTCACAACTCATCCATTTTCTCACTCATTTTTCCCGTAAAATGATTAAATACTTAATCTGTAGTTGGCAAACACAGTAAAATGTTTGTTTTGGCCTATGGAGGGTGAAAACTTCACATAGCAAAGAAAAGAAAATGTTCTGAAAATGCTTTGCTATTTAATTAGCCAGTGACTTCACTCAGCACAGCAGCCGTTTGTCTGAAGCTTCTCAGGCTAACCCTTCCCTCTAATACACACGTTGTGTTCTAGTATGTTTTATGTTACCAAAGGAGTTCTTGTATATAAATGCTTCCTTTCGAATACAAATACAAAGCTCTGACATGGTTAGATGTTTAGTTTGCCCCTCCTTTTGTGTTTCTGACCTTTTAAAAATGATGATTTCCCAAAGGAATCTGGCATCCATACTGGGGAAAGAATGGAAAACAGGGAAAGTACCAGAATGTTCTGTTTTTGATACCCTAACTTTAGGGTAATTACTAAACCCACAGAACCAAGTTCACAAGCAAAACTAAAATTCTCCCCCCAAAAGTAAAAGTAATGCATGGTCTGGCAAGACAGCTCAGCAAGTAAAGGCACTTGTCACCATTTTCAGGACCTATATGGTAGAAGAAGAGAGGACCAACTCCTATAAATTGTTCTTTGACCTCTACACAAATGCCATGGCACATACATGCCAACATAAAATAAATAAATGTAACCAAAAAATTTTAAGTTAATACAATTGCTAAAGAGGAGAAGCCAATTTGTGAAGTAATATTTATTAAATAACATTCACCATAAAGGAATGGTTAAATGTAATTTCAAACTCTCTTCTAGTGCAAATTGTTTAAATAGAAAGCAAGATTACAGTTGAATTTATTCAGAAATACATATGTATATATACATGTATAAACACTAAGCAAAAACTCATTTCCAGGTTATTGTTCTGACAATTGTTGGAGACAGAGAGGGAATGTGTTGAGAAAATTTAGAAGTTAGGAACCATCAGGATAGAAAATCAATTTCATTCTACTTTGGAAGCTGAATTTTCTGCCTTTGACAGGTCACAAGAACCTCCTTGCACTGAACTTGTTCAAGAATGCCAGGCCTTTGGTGGTCTGCTTCCCATACAGCATGGCTGTCTGCTCTTGGAAAATGGCACCCACTGAAGACAACCCAATACTGAGACAATCAAGCTTCCAGTCAGAGAATTGAAATGAGGCCTTCTTCCTGTTTATATTTTGTCAAGCCAGGTACCTTTTCACCAGCAATGCCTTTGCACCCTGCAGTTCTACTCTGGCCCTTCAATGAATGTCCTTTGATCCTGGTCCCTTAGAGGAACTCCTCTTCACCTGAATTCTAATAAGATATGAGCTCTTTTGTGAAATCTTATTGCACCTCTGATCAGAACCAATCATGCTCTTCCCTGTGCAGTTACTACAATTGCAGTCAGCTCTATCAGCACAGGAGTGCATCTCATTTAC